TCCTACTAACTCAACGAAGTTTCCCAGAGTTTCAGCACTGCCATGTATTAGAGACGTTTTAATTGGGAGAATAGGGGAGTAACACTCTAGAACAAAGAAAAGTGCAAGTATCCCCTGTTGAACTAGGCCAAGAACTGAGATGCATTGGCAGAGCTTCATGACAAGCTGAGGTTTGGAATAGCTGTGGTTACTACAACTCAGGACTACAACTCAACGAAGTTTCCCAGAGTTTCAGCACTGCCATGTATTAGAGACGTTTTAATTGGGAGAATAGGGGAGTAACACTCTAGAACAAAGAAAAGTGCAAGTATCCCCTGTTGAACTAGGCCAAGAACTGAGATGCATTGGCAGAGCTTCATGACAAGCTGAGGTTTGGAATAGCTGTGGTTACTACAACTCAGGACTACAGGAGCACAGTTTATGTGCTCTGATTTGTAACAGCCTATAAAAGTTAGGAGAACTGTGTGCGGGGTGTTGCCACAGTAGGAGAGCTAATTTCCTGACCAGCCAGTACATAGGACTTGTCTCAATCTACATTACATCTTATTTATATTTTTTCAATTTGTTTCCCGAACAGAAAGCTCAAATACTGGACTGTCTGGTTCAAAACCTGACACCTGGCAACCCTACTCCCCACCTTGATGATACTTGACCTAAGTCAGTCTCCCTTTTCCTGCAGTCCGAATCTGCATCCGCGCCCTGCTCTTGCTGCTTTCACAATGTGTTACTAGAGGGGAAAAGCTCTGCTTTTAATATGAACAGGCAACCAATGCTGCATTAAGTAGAGCACATACAAAACACAATATGAAACATGTACAACACCTCTTTTGCTCCAGCAGAAGGTCAGGGAGGGCCAAAGGAATTCAGATTGACAAAACATTTGCAGACTAGTATAAAAATAAGTAGTTTCTAATGAACGTGGAACCAATTAGCCACCGTCTCAGCATTATATGCTGCACTTTCAGCTATGATTTTCCATGCTCACCAGAGCTACATGTATCGATTTTTAATTTAAGACACATTTCTTAAGTGTTTGCAAACCTTTGAGTAGAAAAAAAAAAAAGCTCTGAGTGAATGCCACAATAAATTAGTAAAGCTGGGATGCGTGTGTTTTCCCTCCAGAATTTAACTCCAAAGAATGAGCTGCAATTCTGCCGTTTCACTGGCAATGATGCAAAGTCTGATCATCTGTTCTGGATCCTCACAGGGACACACACATTATTCATAGACAGAGATGCATGGTTTTATTCAGAAGAACATCTCTTCCAATGCAGTGCAGGAAAAATCCTTCCATGCTTCATTGGTGTGTTATAATGTATTGATTTGAGTTGGAAATACTGTCTTTCAGCGAAAATCAATAAATAATATCTTACCAAAGAAGCATTTAGCTATTTTATTTTTGCCTCACGTCTTTCAATTGCTGCCTTTTTTATCTTCTTTAGCTGCTTTTATTAAGCTCCTCTATAGCAGTTAAAGAGATTTGTGAATAGTGCCTTAGATAGAGACAGACATGTACATAAATGATACGCTATATAGTATACACCTGCATTATTCCTTCAAACTATTGTAAGAAGAAAAAGGAACTCAAATCATCAGCTATCAGTGTCTCCAGACCTAGTCCCACTGGGGCTAAGATTGACATGATTTCAGTGATAAGTTTACGGATATTTGTCATGCAGGCTGGGGGGGTGAGGGAAAAGGGGAGCAGAGATACATATTAGAATCCAAAATAGATGGCTACTGCAGGAGGCACATTCATTGGTGTTTGCTATTTGCTCTCTGTTCTCTTTCAGACTGATGTGTTCTCTTCTGGACATTGTTTGACTAGCTATGCAAGTGTTACTTAGAAATGTACCTTTGCTTTCTAAGGCACTGTCTGTCCTTAGCATTCAGGTGTAGTTGTGACAGAGCAAGCCTGAAGTGAGCACAAATAAACTCACAGTTGGCAGCAGTTGAATGTATTGCTGCTTGAAATCAAAGAATCATAGGGTTGGAAGAGACCTTAGGCGGTCATCGAGTCCCACCCCCATCAGAATTAAGAGGGAGTCAAATAGCAAAAGCATTCCTAAAGGGGAAGCTGATCACAAAGAAACAAACAAGAAGAATTATTGTACAGGTCGTCCTCACTATAAGTCCAAGATATGATCCAAAAAACTTGGACTTTTAGCGAAACAACTTAAAATGGGGAATTTTTTTCCCACAGTTGACTTCCATTTGCGCAGATTGGAGGACTTGACGGGGGGGGGCGTGTTGTGCACAACTTAAGAGCGGGGAATGGGAGGACTTGTAACACATCAGTTCCCAGACGCGTCAATGACTTTAGTGCAGAACGGATGTATACCGGGACAACTTATAGAGGGGTTGCCCTGTAAAATCCTCTTGACTGACATAGACCCTACTGGAAACAAATATGTACCATCAGATCATCTTCTTTTGTCATAAATTATATTGTGCTGGGAGATATTAACTTCGCAAACTGCTTTAAAAGTAATCATTGCACGAAAGCAATTTAAAAAAATGAAATTTTATTTCTTGGTTTAGAAGCCATAATTTGTAAACTTTAAGACCAGAAGGAACAATTATGATCGTCTAGTCCAGGGGTTGGCAAACTTTCCGAAGTGGCATCCCAAGATTTAACCCTCCTGTCCTGGGCCGTGCCACTCTCCCAGGAGCAGGGGAGGGACTCTCTCCACCGCGTGCTTTGCTGGTCACCTACTCTGGTTTCTGCTCCAGCTTGGAGAGGGGAGGAGCTGCGCATGCACGCTTCCCCACACTTGGGTGCAGGCCCTGTGTGAGAGGTGGGGTGCAGGATCAGGCTGAGGAGTAGGGTGTCTGACAAGAGGGGAGGGGGAAGGAGCAGGGTAGGGATACGTATCTGGCCAGGGGGAGGGGGGCAGGAGCAGGGTGGAAGCGCAAGATCTCAGCACAGAGATTGGGGTGAGGTTACAGGGTCTGAGACACACTTTTTTTCCCCAGTGTCTGTTTCAGGGTTTATTTATTGTCGCAGTAACTCCCATGTGGCAGCCAGACATGGCTCCACACATGGAATAAGCGGCCCATGGGCCGAGTCTGGAATGGAGGCTGTGTCTTGCCAGGAGCGCAGGGAGTACAGCCAGGATCCAGCCTGCCAGCACCTGGACAACAGACTCCAGCGGCCACACGGGGCTTTCCAGCAGGTGCGAGTGCATGGGTGGCATGAGGTGGAAGCGGAGCAGTGCGCAGATCAGCAGGGACACAGCCATGGCAGCAGCAGGTCCTTCACAGGAAAGATGGCAGTCAGGTCTGCGTTTGCCCCTCATGCTGCTCTCAGGCTCCCTGTCCCAGGCATGGTTTCCAGATGCTCCATTGGCCAGTTTCTGGCCAGTGGAGCAGTAGGAAAAGCCTATAGGCAGTGCACCGGTGCACTGCTTTGTTTCTCCAGCCAGAGAAGGGGGAGCGCAATCACGTGTGCTGAGATGTTCGTGGCTCTGGCTTTTTCCCCGATCCCAAAGCAAGGCTCGGGGCTTTCTCCACTCCTCCACCCTCGCGTGCCACTGAAAATCGTATTGCGCGCTGACCCCTTGTCTTGTCTGACCCATTACGCAGGTTATAGAATGTCACCCAGTGATTCCAGCATCAAGCCGAATAAGTTGTGTAGGATCTGAGCGTGTCATTTAGAAAGACATTACAGAGCTGGGAGAATCCTGCACCCAAAAAAAATAAAAATTCTGCACACAATATCTTCAAATTCTGCATAATTTATGTGTCAAAATAACACAATATAATCACTTTAAAAAACAACTAATAGTCCTGTAGCACCTTAGGTTCGGACTAGGGATGCAAATAGTAGTTAATGAAGTGGGGATTTAAATATCCCGCGCTTCATTAACATGATCTCGCCTGCGCACTAGTTCGAATCACAGCTGATTCGAACCAGGAAGTGCGTGCCGGGACGCGTTAGTTCGGACTAAAGCCCTTAGTCCGAACTAACGTTACTCCTCAAAAAATGAAGTTTTTTTCAGTTACAGAGTAACACGGCTACCCCTCTGAAACAATATAATCACACCAATTTCAATTATATTGGTAATGTATTTCAAAATACCTGTCCACAAGTATGGCTATAACAATGCAAACAACAACAAAGATTCGGAAAATGTTTTTTGACAAATAGATTCCTTAGTTGGCATATGAACACAGAACTTTGGGTAATAATTCTTTTAAACTGCAATACAGAAACTTTATTTCCTGCACCCCTACAAGCAGTGCAAAGGCTAAGAGGATCCAGGGATAGTGGAGGAACTGAGACACAGGGAAGTAGTTGCTAAGGAGGCTGGGAGAGTGAACGTGGAGAGTTGTCAGATATGGGTGGGAGAAGTATGGATTTTTTTTTCTAGGGAGTTGTATTGCCTCCCTAATACAGACCCTGGCTTACCCCTATCCTCTCTCATTCCTCCAGGCACATCTGCCTATGTCCCAAGTGTCCCTGCACCAACATTCTCTCTTCTCATCATATGTCCTGGCACCCCTAGCCCCAATCTCCATGTGGCCCTGCTCCACCATTCTCATTTAGACCCTGGCTCAATGTTATCACTCCACTAGTTCCTGTTGCCAGCTCAAATCTATCCTCCCACTAGCCCTCTAAATCCCAGGCTATGTGACACGCCCCCCCCCCCCTTTTGTTGATTTCCTGCATATTCCATGCCTGCCCCTCTGGCCCTATAGGCAGGGTGCAATAAAAAAGCACTCTGGCCCAGGATGGCTGCTCTGGCACATGAGCCATCTGCTCTCTTTTTTTAGCACCACATCAGCCTCTGGTGGGTGAAAGGTGTAATTGCAGCATGATCCCTTTTATGGCTTTTCTTCACCTTCCCAGTTAGAATCAGTTATTCTGCAGGGTAGGAGGAATCTGTGGAGGACATTAATTCTGTGCTTGTTTAGTGGCATGGAATTCCCCCAGGAGTCAAAATATCCTGAAGTGAGCAGAACTCAACAAGGGGAAATTTAAATTCACAGAAACAGTTCCCTCCTAACTACTATGTAAAGTTTTCAGACATCATCAGGCGTGCCGTTTAAATGAGTTATATGTGCCATGTGTCCATTGCTTAGAGTGCTTGAAAGGCATTTCTCTGCACCTGTTCCCTGGCAGTTTCTCATTTAAGCAAGAGTGTCCTTTATCTGAGTGATGATTAATAGGATTTTGCTGATTAATTGGTTTCCACTGTGTAACAAAAAAGTATGCTTTTCTCTATTGCTTAGCTACAATACAGGTTTTATTTATGGTTTCTAAAACCAGTAGCCTAAAGCCTTTCATGTACCTTTAAGGTCTTTTTTATCGATCTATGTCTCTAATACAGCTGCATGTTGCAGCCTGATAATAACCTTTGTTTCAATAATAGATAAAAAGAAAATAATGCACCAGGTATGGACTAGTCACAGTAATCTGTGGAAAAAGCTTTATATCTTCCTGGATGTCATCAGGATCACTCAAAGCTGGAAGAAAAAGCTATTAAATAAAAATCAGAATTTATATTTTGCTGGTATGAACACATCATTCCTTTCTGCTACAAAGCTTAGGGAGATCGTAGGAGTGGGAAATTATTTCCTTTGATTACAGTGATGCAGAAAACTTTTCTTGTGTCTTGTATGAATATTAATGGGGGAAAATGTTGTGATGTGGAGATTTGGAAGGTGGTAGGGAAGACAATCGAACTCCTAGTCTATTCTTTCTGATTTGGAATAGAATACCTTGCTGTGCAGTATAGATTTGTTTCACTTTACGTTAACTAAAGATGCTTTTTAAACAGTGCTTGTATTTTTTTAAGAGTTAAATCTTAATTTGTATATATCCCTCTAAAAACAGTCTGGATTGTTTAGAGCATTTTGACCCGGTGGGATTTAATTTAGCTTTGTGTATGGAATCTCTGTTGTTTGTGTCAATAATGTCAATACATGTGTATGAGTTTAAAAAATTATAAATAACATTTATTTTTAAAAGTCTATGGCAAAACAACTTGAAGAGAAATCATTACAAATTATACAAATTGATACTTTAAAAGCTACTTCTCTTTGAAATGTTTTCTCTTTATATTCCATGGTCCAACCCCCCTGCCACTCCATGTCCCACACACATTCCCTCATACCCCATCTCATTTCTGTTGATGTGCCATCTTTGTGACATTGTCCTTAAGTGCGTGATTTTGGTTGGTAGGAATTCTCCTAAAATGCAGTAATCAGCCAATCCATCACATTGTATGGCTTTAAAATTTCATTCCATCTCAAAACCTTATGGGACTCTGCCCTTTCAGGGCTTTTGTAGTAGTATAGCAGGCCAAGTGCATTATCAGTGTGTACATCTGTTCCTTTCCACATGTTACTCAAAAGAAGCTACAAAATCTTACTGAGGTCACCCTTACAACAGTGGAAGTCACGCAGCACCACCTTGGATTGTAAGTCGCCCATCTGTAAGTGGAAGTATACAGACAGATCCCTGCACCCGTGCAAAGCCTCACTTACTTCAGTGGGACTTCACATAGATGCAGGAGTTCACCTGTGCAGGCTGTAATGCATCATCACCATGGCCTTTGGTAGGAAGAGCCCTGGAGAGGTTCATTTCCCTTTTCTGATTCTTCCCCTTCTTCTTTCAGGCTCCAGATGCTTGAAGCCATCTGCAAACATTGGGAGGGTCCAATCAGCCTGGCACTCTATCTTTCTGACGCAGAGGCCCAGCAATTCCTGCGCTATGCGCAAGGCTCAGAAGTTCTCATGAGCCGACGCAATGTTGGGTACCATATAGTGTACAAGGAGGGCCAGTTCTACCCTGTCAATCTCCTGCGGAATGTGGCCATGAAGCACATCAGCACACCGTACATGTTCTTATCTGACATTGACTTCTTGCCCATGTATGGACTCTACGAGTACCTCAGGTAAATATAGGGTGGGGCTGTTCATATACCCGCATTCTCACACACACAGTGAAACAATCGGATCAGTCCCTAAGTGAGGCATAATAGCTTAAAATATTAGAAATGTGTGAACACCAGGCAGGGGAGAGGAATTATTTAGGGTGACCGAAGGGGCTTTATCTAGACATAATTGGATGAAGTGAAGAAAGGGGAAACTGAGACAAACAGTGAGATCTATTTGATGGGAATAGTTCCAAGGGACCTGGTACAAGGCCCTCATTGCTGGTAGTTGGACCAAGCCCTAGTCCATACGCAGTAGTTTCCTGTATCAGCAAGGAGACAGGCTGAGTGACCTATTAGGTCTTTTCCTTCTCTGGTGTGCAAGGTTCTAGGATGTCTGTGACAGAAGAAACACGCAAAATGTTACTGACACTGTTCTCTACCTGTGAGGTACTGTTAACCCAGTCAGCACTGTATCCTGCAAATGGGGTTGGGATCCACGCTGTTTTGACATGTGATTGAAAGACAAAGAACTTGTCAAGACAGAATAATGAGTGTACTGAAATTGGAAGGGGTGACTTGAATGTGTATTGTATAGTAATGAATGTGAAGACACTTGACTGAGTGAATTCTGAACCTCTGATCATTTAACACAGCCTCCTTTAACGAAAACTTTTTCTCTCTGCAAAGAGAGGCTTACTACCAGGTCCCATTATGTGGGAAAAGGAGGACACCCTCTGGTCAGAAGGATTTCAATTCCTGAATCCTTGTAGAGTCTCAGTTTTTTCTTTGCTCTTTGTCTCTCTTAAAGATGGATAACGTTTTCTCAAAGTCATCCAGTGAGGGTTCCAGATACGCAGCTATTCAATTTAATTGCATAGATCCAAGCTCTCTGAGTATAAAAGAGAAATACGCATTTCTGCAAATGGGCTTGATTCAGAAAAGCCTTCACTTCAAATTTACAACTCACTAAGATTTTGTTCTCCCACACAGATACATGCTGAGTTGTTTGGCTGTAAAAGATCCCTGCACCACTTGAATGCAGTCTGAGTCCTACTCACCTTGTAAATTTTCATATGCGTGTACATGCAGTTAACTGCATCAAAAACAGTGGAGTTACATCTTCCGATGTCAGCATCAGTTTATCCCTGTGTCTCCTTCTGCCTTTGTATGGTGCAGTCGTCACAAAACAATTCTGCCCCTGCACCCAAAACAGGGCTGCCAAAGCAGGGAGCAAAGAGAGCTGCTTGCCCTGAGGCCCAGCGATTTAGAAGAGCCTGGGGCTCCCAGACCACTACCACAGAAACTGGCACTCTGGGCCCTTTTAAACTGCTGTTGGAACCCATGGCCGTGTGGTCTGAGCAGTGCAGAAGGTCTGGTGGGTACAGACTAGCCCTCAGCCCCCCTTACATCCAAGGTCCCACCCCTTCTGGGAGAGCCTGGAACTACCCCCTCCCCATGTTTTCCAGGGGCCCAGCCTTTTTTCTGTCATCAGCCTTGCCCCAAGACAACCCTCCCAGGAATTGCAAAGTGATTATTATTATTAGCTTTTCTTTGCTTAGGTGCCTATGTCACATAGGACACGTGCCCCATGCTTTCTGCAGATTGACTTCGGGTCAGAGCTCTGAAAGTGGCCCCAGCGGCTGTGACACTGGCATGTGTTCCAGAGAAAGCAGCTGATTCCTTCCCACTGCTCAGAGGCACAGTAATGGCAGCCAGCACTAAAAGGCAAGAAGAGAGCAGGAGCAGAAGGATAATGTGGAGAGATGTATTTAAGACACTGAAGGATAGAAATAATTTCCGGGGTGTGTGAATTTGGTTCAGATGAGTAAATGGAGAGTCCCACCTAGTGGCACAATTAGGAAGTGAGAAGATTTACACTGAATGTTGCAGCTGATGTGTGATGCTCCACAAATGTGCATGCATCTCTCGCACCAGCCAGACTCTACTTGGGATTCCCTGTTGCTCAAGGAGTTCAAAATGGCTAATCTGTTACTTCTGTCCCTTTACAAAAGGGCATTTTGTGAAGGGCTTTTTTGTCAACTAATGAGCAGTGTTAAGTAAAATAGTATAGCAAGTTACCAGTCTTGGTTTAAATAATGGTGACCGCCATGTGCTTCTTCACTGGATTCATACTGGTACCTTCTGTAGTAGTGGATTAGTAATACGCATCTGAATGGCAGAAATAGGGCTGTCCATGCACACATTCATTTCTGTCCCCCCACACTGAGTAATAATAGGCTAACAGAAATGATATATGGTGCCTAGGGTTGCCAGATGGTTTCAACAAAAATACCGGACACACTTGACATTATATCACAATCTACATCTTATTACATCTTATTTAGAAAATACTGGACATTTATATTTTCTCATTTATAGTTTCTCAATTTGTTTCCCGAACAGAGAGCTCAAATACTGGACTATCCGGTTCAAAACCGAACACCTGGCAACCCTAATGATGCTTAAGTCCTGGCTCTCATAAAGAGAAAGTCCCTCTGATAATACATTGATGTATCCATACTGAATGCTGTATATCAACAGTCTACATCAGCGGTCTCAAACTCCCAGCCCACGAGTCATCCCTGGCTAGAGAAGTTGCATAATCCAGTCCAGGGTGGGTAGGGAGGGTCTGTTACCCTAGCCCCGACCCTTCCCATCACTGTGCCACTATCTCACCTCCATGGCACCTGATCACCCAAGGACATGGCTTCAAGGATGGGGGCCTAGCATGGAAAAGCAGCAGCAGTCAGGCCCTCTGCACTCCCCACAGTGACAGGAGCCACAGGGAAGCAGAGAGCACTTGGCAAGCACACACACTTCTCAGCTGAGAGCATGAGAGGGTCATCTGCTACTGCCCTACACCAGCCTCCATTGTCTTCCCAAGTGCTTTCAGCCCCGTCCAGCTTGGGGTAACCCATAACTGCACACTATTCAAAGTATGCTCTGAAAACAGAATTATTAATTTCCCTCTGGGCTTTTCTGTGGCACTTATTATCCAACTCATTAATGAAAATATTGAATAGCAACAGACTAAGGAAAGACCCCCGTAAGACTCCACTAGATTAATCCCCCTCATTTGATAGTAAATCATTGATAAGTTCTCTTTTTCAGTATGATCTTTCAAATAGTTAAGTAAGCATCCATATTATGTTTCCCTGGTTTACTTATGAGAATGCCACATAGGACTTACTAAGAGGAAGATACATCCTATCTACAGCTTCCCTCCCATTCACTAGGTCAGTAACTCTGTCAAAGAACATTTAGTTGCTTTGACATGATTTGTTTGTGACAGTTCTATGTTAGCTATTTCTTGGCATTCTGTTATCCTCTAGGTACTTGCAAATTGATTGTTTAATAATTTGTCCCCGTATCTTCCCAGGTGTTGAAGTTAGGTTGGCTGGTCTATAATTCTCTGAGTCCTCTTTGTTCCCCTTTTAAAAGATAGCATTATATTTGCCCTTTTCCTGTCATGTGGAATCTTGCCTGCCCTCAAAAATAATCAATATGGATGCATCTACACTGCATTGTTATCTTGAGATAACTAGCGTTATTTCGAAATAACAACGTGAGTGTCTACACAGCCATTCTGTTATTTCAAAATAATTTTGGATGGCTTTCCGAAATCTGTAAACCTCATTCTGCGAGGAATAACGCCTGTTCCGGAATAGCTATTTCGAACTAGTGGCAGTGTAGATACTCCACTGCTGTTATTTCAAAATAGCCCCTCACCAGGGCCATTCTAAGTTATTTCTCCCCAATGCCTCCTGGAGCTCTAAATCGCGATAGCACATCTACATTAGAGAAGCCTGCTTCGGACTAATCTTGAGACTTCCCTGCAGTGTAGATGTGCTATTTCGAAATAAGCTATTTTGGAATAACTATTCTGGAATAACTATTCCAGAATATCTTCTTCCGAAATAACTGTGCAGTGTAGACATACCCTTACAGTTCCAAGATTGCTTCAGCTAGTTCCTTAAGTATCCTAGAATAACCTTCCTCAGGCCCTGCCAACTTGAATAAATTTAAATTATGTAAATATTTTCTTTAACCTCTTCTTTCCCTTTTTTGACTTGTGCTCCTTCCCCTTCTAGGTTAATGTTAATTGTGTTAAGTATCTAGTTACAATTAACCTTTTCAGGAAAGAGAAAAGCAAAGTAGACATTAAATACCTCATGCAATTAGTCCACCTTTCACACTAAATAGTGGCCTACATTTCCTTCATCTTACCTCACTCCTAATGTACTTTTACATCCTCTTATTTGATTTTATATTCTAGGTGTAACTCATTTTGTGCCTTAGCATTTCTGATTTTGTTCCTACATGCTTAGGCTGTTCTTTTGTGTTCTTCCTTAGCAACTTATACATGTTTCCACCTTTCATTAGTTCCTTTTTGATTTTCAGGCAATTCAAGAACTCCTAAGGGAGCCCTTTTGGCCTCCTACTATTCTTTCGGTCTTTCCTTTGTGTCAGGATAGCTTACTGTTGTGTGTTTAATACTGTCTCCTTAACAGACTACCAACTCTGCTGAACTCCTTTTTCCCCTAAATTTTCTCCCCGTGGCACCTTTGCTAGCCGTTTTCTGGTAATGTTAATGTCTCTCTTTTTTTTTTAAGTCCATTGGCCTTTTTCTGCTGCTCTCTTGCCTTCTTTTCCTTGAAATCATAACATCTATCATATCATGATCACTTTGCCCATGAAGCTTGTACTGCCACTACTTCACTGCTATTTTTAGCCACACTAGCTAGATTAAAGTTAGTGTAGGTGCGCTCACACAAGCTGCAATCACACCTCTGACCCTAAACCCCAGTTTCTCCATACAAGAAGTGCAGGTGATAATATTGACCTACCAAACAATGAGGCTGTGGAAATTATTAAATACTTGTAATCATTTTGAAGAAGAAAGGTTCTGTGGCTGTATTTGGGGTTAGTTTGACCTCTAAGTGGATTCTTCAAGATCACTTTCCACGCTACCAAAAAAAAAGGTAATGAGAAATTTACCTTTATTTTCTTTCCTATGT